GTGAGCTCCTCTCAGGCGGCCCAGGGAGGCCTCCTGCAGCAGCCACCCGACCTGGAGCTTACCAACTCCTGGAGCCGCCTGGATGCCCCTGGCCTGGCCAGGTGGCCCCCCGGCAGGGAGGAGCCCCTCAGCTTCCCTCTCCGTGGGGAGCTCAGCTGTAGGGCAGAGGGAGTCTGCTCCTTCCCCACGAGGCCGCAGGCCCCCGTCGACGGCAGGATTGATGGCAGGATCGCAGGTGGGTAGGGGGCTGTGTTCTGGGGGATGAGAGGGTCCGTGAGGATGGGCGTTAGAAGGGCGCTCTGACTTTGCTCTGTGGGATGAGAGGGTCTGTGTGTGCTGGGCGGTGGGGATGTGGGTGACTGTCCTGTGTGCTGGCCACAATCTGGCCACAGCGAGCGGTGCCGCCCAGGATTGCCAAGCCCACCCCATCTCCAGAGCAGAGACAGTTAAGCCAGTCACACTCAGGCAGTTGGTCAGGTTCGCATTAACCACCTTATTTACTTTTAGGGGGGTGAGAAAAGATAAACCAAAGAACCTATATACTTATATACATAGCCCATGGACACGGGCAGTAGGGTGGTGAAGATCAGGGGGTGGGGGTAAGTAGGGGCTGGGAGGAGGCGGGTAAAGGGCAGAAATTGGGAGATATCTGTAATACTATCAACAATAAAAATATATTTTTAAAAAACCCTTATTTACTTTTAAATAGTTGAACACTTACTATGTGCCAGGCACGGCTCTTTGCTGAGAATGTCTGCAAGTTCCGGTGTCCCCTCTTACTGTGCTTGTAGTTTTTTCATGGAGGCTGAGGAATGTGGGGGAGGTGTGGAATTCATCCTCATGCTCTGGCCAAACACAGGAAAATACGGAAAACAGTGGATCACTGCGAGAGAGGGAGGAAGAAGCCGTGGCTGGTCTGCAGGTGGGCCCCAGGGGTGGGGGGTAGACTGGGAGGGAGACCCGTTAGGCCCACCCAGCCACTAGGTCAGGGGGCTGCTGGGGAAGCCGGCAGCTGAGATGCTGCACCAGCACCTGCCAGGCATTTCACACGTGTGACCTCTAACACAGAGCTGCGTTGTCTGGGCGGCCTGCGCCAGTGCCCGATGCGGGGCTGTAAGTGGCTTCTCTCGGCGTCCTCCCGACAGTCCCGCGTGGCTCGTGCCGTCTGTTCTTGCTTTGGCTGCCGAAGGCCAGTCCAGATGAGGAAACCGAGGCACAGTCATTTAGGTCCCATCGTTGACAGCTGGCCTGGCACCACATCGGTACTTGTTGTTTCACTTTTACTTTTTTAGGTGTCGTGTACACGCAGCCACGTGTGCTAATCGCAGTGTGCATGCGTAGCCACCACGTGCGTTCAGCTCTAGACCGTTTCCGGGGCCCCCGAAGGTTCCCGGTGCCTCCTCCCAGGCACTGCCCCCCAGAGGGCGGGCGCCCTGGTTTCCCTCCCTGGAGGAGCTCTGTTTGTTCTTGCTCAGTTTTGCGTCTGGCTCCCTTCCCAGCGTAGCATCCGTAAGCTTCACCCCCGTGTGGTGAGTAGCACTGGGTTGTGCTTTCTGGCTCATTACCGAGCAGCGTTTGTTGCAGGACAATATCACAGTCTGATCGTCCCTCCTCTGGCTGGTGGGATGTGGGATGTTTCCACTTCCTGTCTATTATGCACGGAGCCCCGGTGGACATTTGCATGCGTGTCTTTCAGTGGATGCGGTCACCGTGTCTCTTGGGTCTTTACTTAGGAGTGGAGATGCTGGGCTGCTAACCCCTGCACCACCCGGCAGCCCGGAGAGGCAGTGCCTTACCCCACTCCACAGAGGGGGAGACTGAGGCTGAGAGGGTGGGTGCTGACTTGGCTAGTAAGGGGCTGAGCGCACGACACAATGAAAGCAGAACCAGATCAGGTCTCAGGAGCTGCTGCGGCCGTGTGTGACCGCAGGGTCCCGGGAGGCAGCTTGGGCGGTCTGCTGCCCCGCTCTGCGGACCCGGGGCAGGACCGTGTGTGGCTGAGAATGTCTGCAAGTTCCGGTGTCCCCTCTCACTGTGGTTGTACAAGCTTTTCCAGGGAGGCTGAACAGCCGGGGGCGGGGTGAGGAAGGTGGGGGAGGTGTGGAATCCATCCTCATGCTCTGGCCAAACACAGGAACACAGGCTCCTCTGACTCAGGCATCATAGTTTCGAATTTTCAGTCCTGCTCCCCTGTGAACCGAGCTGAGATGTTTTGTCTTGAAAACGGGCCCCTCTGACTCAGGCATCATAGTTTCGAATTTTCAGACCGACAGCCTCAAACATCATGAACTAGGCAACGCTGCAAACAATGCAATTGCCAGTTGGCCCCGGAGCCCGGCAGTCCTGAGCAGCTGGGTGGCTCTGCCGGACACCTCCTGCGTGCCGCCACCTCGGCCCGAGTCTCACCCACCAGCTTCCTGTGTCGCACGCTGTCCCCCCAGGCTGAGCCTTAAGAGGCTCTCCGTTCCCATTCCCACCAGCAAGACTCCTGCTCCGTGTACTCCTGCCAGGGGTAGGCGTCCTTAAAACGGCCTCCCATCCTTCCTCGGTTGCGCCCGGCCCTGACATCTAGCGGGCGGAGGCCAGGGAGCTGCCAAACCTTCTGCAAGCCCTGGGCGGGCCCACGGCGGGAATTCTCAGGCCCGGAGTGTCGGTAGTGCTAAGCAGTCCTGCTCCCCTGTGAACCGAGCTGAGCTGTTTTGTCTTAAAAAAAAAATTTAGAGACGCTCTTGACCTAGGATGGGCATTAGGTCAACACATTATCTGTGTTTTGCAAGTTACTTAGGAGTGGAGATGCTGGGCTGCTAACCCCTGCACCACCCGGCAGCCCGGAGAGGCAGTGCCTTACCTGGTTTCTCTTTGCCACACAGACGATAATGGATGTAGTCAAATGCGTCTTTCACTTTGATGACAACCTCTGGGCTTCCTGTCACAGTTGAGGGCTCCCTGCCCGTGTTTGAGAGGGTGGGTGCTGACTTGGCTAGTAAGGGGCTGAGCTGGAACCCAAGCCCTGAGTTTGAGGATTTGGCTCCAAGGTCCGTGGCTGACCCACTGCTTGGAACCTGGTCCTTTCCCAGGCGCCGGTCCTATTCGAGAGCCTTTGGCCTTAGTGATCTGTGGTTTCGTGTTTCTGCTTCTCTTGAGGTTTCATTAGGCCTTATCGTCGGGAATTGATTTTTGTGAACAGTGGGGGGAGGGTCCAAGTATGTTTTCCACACGGAGAGGCAGTTGTGGCTTCAGCATATCTTAAATGGACGACCCCTTCCCACCGAATGAAAACCCACCTCTGTCCTATTTCACTTTGCACATGCACACTGCCCTCCGGCTCCCCTTCCTTTCCGATGATTCCTGTCAGTCTAGTTCAGTCCCATCACATCTTGATTACATGACTTTGTGGTCTGTGTGCCAAAGGTCGCCTGTCACCTCTATTCTTTTTTTTCTCCCTTAAGTAACTTTTTGGTCCACGTCAGACATTTATTCTTCCTTGTTACTCACTCTTAGTTCCCAAAATAAGGAAAGGAAAGCCTCTCTGTCTGTCTGTCCGTCCGTCCGTCCCCACTGGGCCGCGTTGCTGCCGACTGGGATTGTTATTAGACAGTCGCTGCTTGTGGGCCGCCCTCCTGCCAGTTCCCCGAAATCTGCCCTCTGTTAGCGTGGTTTCTCTTTGCCACACAGACGATAATGGATGAAGTCAAATGCGTCTTTCACTTTGATGACAGCCTCTGGGCTTCCTGTCGCAGTTGAGGGCTCCCTGCCTGTGTTTGGTGCATG